AAGAAGAAATTTAGCCAATCAGGTAGTTTAACTGCGCATAAACGAACACACACTGGAGACAAACCTTATGAATGTGATGTTTGTAAGAAGAAATTTAGGGAATCAGGTAATTTAGCATCACATAAAAGAACACACACTCGAGACAAACCTTATGAATGTGATGTTTGTAAGAAGAAATTTAGCCAATCAGGTAGTTTAACTGCGCATAAACGAACACACACTGGAGACAAACCTTATGAATGTGATGTTTGTAAGAAGAAATTTAGGGAATCAGGTAATTTAGCATCACATAAAAGAACACACACTCGAGACAAACCTTATGAATGTGATGTTTGTAAGAAGAAATTTAGCCAATCAGGTAGTTTAACTGCGCATAAACGAACACACACTGGAGACAAACCTTATGAATGTGATGTTTGTAAGAAGAAATTTAGGGAATCAGGTAATTTAGCATCACATAAAAGAACACACACTCGAGACAAACCTTATGAATGTGATGTTTGTAAGAAGAAATTTAGCCAATCAGGTAGTTTAACTGCGCATAAACGAACACACACTGGAGACAAACCTTATGAATGTGATGTTTGTAAGAAGAAATTTAGGGAATCAGGTAATTTAGCATCACATAAAAGAACACACACTCGAGACAAACCTTATGAATGTGATGTTTGTAAGAAGAAATTTAGCCAATCAGGTAGTTTAACTGCGCATAAACGAACACACACTGGAGACAAACCTTATGAATGTGATGTTTGTAAGAAGAAATTTAGGGAATCAGGTAATTTAGCATCACATAAAAGAACACACACTCGAGACAAACCTTATGAATGTGATGTTTGTAAGAAGAAATTTAGATATTCAGGTAATTTAGCATCACATAAAAGAACACACACTCGAGACAAACCTTATGAATGTGATGTTTGTAAGAAGAAATTTAGATATTCAGGTAATTTAGCATCACATAAAAGAACACACACTCGAGACAAACCTTATGAATGTGATGTTTGTAAGAAGAAATTTAGACAATCAGGTAATTTAACAGCACATAAAAGAACACACACTCGAGACAAACCTTATGAATGTGATGTTTGTAAGAAGAAATTTAGAGAATCAGGTAATTTAGCATCACATAAAAGAACACACACTCGAGACAAACCTTATGAATGTGATGTTTGTAAGAAGAAATTTAGCCAATCAGGTAGTTTAACTGCGCATAAACGAACACACACTGGAGACAAACCTTATGAATGTGATGTTTGTAAGAAGAAATTTAGGGAATCAGGTAATTTAGCATCACATAAAAGAACACACACTCGAGACAAACCTTATGAATGTGATGTTTGTAAGAAGAAATTTAGATATTCAGGTAATTTAGCATCACATAAAAGAACACACACTCGAGACAAACCTTATGAATGTGATGTTTGTAAGAAGAAATTTAGACATTCATGTAATTTAGCATCACATAATATAACACACACTGGAGACAAACCTTATGAATGTGATGTTTGTAAGAAGAAATTTAGGGAATCAGGACATTTAGCTGTACATAAAAGAACACACACTGGAGACAATCCTTGTGAATGTGATGTTTGCAAGAAGAGATTTAGACAATTAAGCAGTCTTAATTGGCACAAAAAGGCGCATTTGTTTTGCAGTAGTTGCCACACAGAGATTATTGAACTACAGAATTGGAAAGAACATTTTGTTGAGGATAAAAACACTGGAAAATACACTTGTAACAAATGTAACAGGCGATTTTCTAAATTTATCAAATTGGTTCAACATATAGCAAGACACCATGGCAATGATGGGATCTATCAATGTGGTTTATGTCAAGAACTTGAGTCAAAAGAACCAACTGGTGTTGGATATGTTTGTTGTGTTTGCAATGTTGTATTTGATGTTCCCAGAGATCTTGAAGATCACATGGCCACCCATGACTCATTTTGAATATTGTTGCCCGCTTTGAGTATGCAGCGAGTAAGCGAGTTTATGCATTAATATAGGACATTCAGATTCCAGTTTAGTTTTATATGAAATATACATTGGCATTTGTATCAGACTAGTTGTTTATATTTCTTAGGTCTATTTTATTTTACTGCTGTGTGAGCTAATGTTGATCACTACTTAGGCAGATATTATTCTATGTTCCTGGTGTTAAATGTCTAAATTATAAAAAGTAGAATGTATAGAGAGGAAATTCTTGTCTATACATTTTATGGACAAGGCTTTTAGCCAGGGCAGATATATTGTTTTAGTTAGTTTTAATATTTAATTCAGGGGTTGGGTGTTGACTTTTGTTGTGTTAAAGAATTGAGAACTCAACTGATACTTGATTCGAATTGATATTAGGAAAAAAAAATATGTGGATTTCCGGTTTCTTCTCATAAAAACTTAGGTAGGGTAGGTCGGTTTTAACTTTTTTTTTTAAACTTTTTTTTTAATTTTCCGAACAAGCGGACGCCATTTTGTTTAGTCAGCGCTTCCACATCCAAAGATAAATTTCTCTAATATTGCCTCAAATTTCAATTTTCCACAAACTTTTTCCTCTAAGTGGAAACACTTACAAGCATGATCCAATAAAAAAGTGTAGGGTCGGGATTTCGACGTCCAAAAGCTAGGTAGGGTCGGGAAACCGGAAACCCACATATTTTTTTTTGGCCTTAACATATTTCGTTAAATTGGATGTAATAAAGGAAGAAAATAAAGTTGAATAATTAAAATGTTGAACACAGTAAAGTCTAAAATATTATACACAGGGTGTCAAAACGGATGTCCAAATCAGTCATGCATGACACAAACTGTCTGCAGAGATTACATATGTATTATAGGACATTGATATATTCCTGTTTGGTTTGATTGACAAGTAAAATAAGCATATATTAGACAATTGTATTTAGACTTGAAAATGAAAGACACAAAAATGGGAATTGGAAAACCCCAATACCATGATAAAGACAGGTGTAGTTGGACACTTCAGAATTTAGATAACCTTAAGAACAGCGACAGGGCAATTTTTGACAGAGAATTTGTCTAAGAAAAGTTAATCGACTTGTGGCTTAACTAATTAGGTCATTTTTCTGCTACTACTGTACGTACTACGTAGGTCATTAACCTCCTCCGCAGCCTCTCTATGGGTTTGAGCGTGCGAATGGGTTTTGAAAAAAAATTTCACCAAACTTTTTCCGACCACCCGATTCCAGGTGAGATGCCTGTGGAAGAGGCTTGTGGGTCATAAACCTTTTCAATATATCTTGAATGCATAATTGTGTTTAAAAGTCGCTGAGATTTCTTTAAATTTCACAGCGGGACTGGTATTTGATCTAAAAAAGGGCTGTGAAATGGAATATAGGATTTACAGAAAATTTGGGCTGGGAAATGGGTCTTAGACCCCCTGTTCAGGGCCCTCTTTGCAGGCTCAGTTGCCACGGTTTTCACTCATTTCCAGCCATCAAACTGATATATCATTTTTCTCAAATTTTAAAGTTGATTCTTTTTTGATTTTCTTGATTAACTTGGTTAGGTTTAGCATTGCCATATGTCATTTAACAGCTCTTCCATCCAGGGATGCCGGAACCACGGGTGCAGCGGGTGCAAGTGCACCCCTCACCTTTTGCATTTTCAACTTTGTGGGTGCAGCGCGGGTGCAGACTATGGATGTAACGGGTGCACAAAACTTTTACAACAGACAGAATTAAACGTCGCTCGAGGATGTGTGTGGGAGTGTTCTACCCCCCAGTCGTCAGGAAGTCGGCAAACTTATTATCCATCTGGCGAAAGGTGAACTGGGAAAGCCGTTACTTATGGAATTTTTGGTGAGAAATTACGGAGGAATTGTGCCTAAATAATTGTATTCGGTCCGAAAAAAATTGGTGACGGGGAGGGAGGTCGACACGAATGTTGGATCATGCCACCCTTTCATTTTCATTGGTGCCCTTTTGTTAAGGAGTATGCCCTTTTGTTAACCAATTGCACCCCTTGCCCTCAGCAACTTCCAGCACCCCTGCTTCCATCTGCTGACAATGACATCATGTCAGTATG